GAGTTAAGTGAGGGAAGAAAGCTCTGGTTCTCCTAGTCATGCCTGCTAGAATAGAGCTTCTGCAGTTGGTCTTGGGAGAGTGAAAGACACAGCTATCTACATGAAACCATTGTTGGGAGAGAGGGAGACCCCATTGACTTGGTCACTTGCCCAGAGCAGAGTTCCATAATATGAAGCTAAGGAGTGGGGATGGGAACTGGTCATGGCTCACATACCACAGGCTCTTGCCAAGAACTCTTCGTTCTCACCAAGATTTTTTAGATTTTCTTGCATAAATATTTCTCAAGTTTTCTGTCCTCTCAGGCCAATTTCCAGAGAACTTCAATAGTTATTTTTCTAATAATTTTCACCAGCTATAAATAGCTTGCTCTCTAAAGAAGGAATCAATCAAGTTCCTCATGCAGCCATTCTGGAAGTACAAAATCAAAGTTTTAATATCTGTCTAAACATTTGGCAATTTTCTAGATATTTTTCTATTATTGGTTTCTAGCTTAATTCTGTTATAATTTTAAGACATATTTTGTACAATTTTAATTCTTTTGAATTTGCTGCCATTTGTTTAATGATCCATAATATGCTCTATTTTGGTGTATGCTACATGTGCACTCAAAAAAAGGTATATTCTGTTGTTAGGATAGAGTATTCTGTAAACTTCAATTAGGTCTAATTCACTGATAGTGTTTTGCAGATCTTATATATGCTTACTAATTCTCTGTATACTTTTTTTATCAATTGTGAAAGACATGTTAAAGTTCCAAATTCTAATTGTGGTCATAATGTCTTTTTTTGCCCTTGCTCTGTAAATTTTGAAGATTTGTTACTAGCTCCATTTAGGATCCTAGCATATTTAGATTTTATCATTATGCAATTAATGTCTTGATTTATCCCTGATAACATTCTTTGTTCTGATGTTGACTTTACCTGATAGTAATCTAGCCATTTCTTCTTTTGATTAGTGTTTGCATTGTGTATTATATTCTATACTTTCCCCTATAACCTGTCTATATTTAACGTGGATAAATAGTGCTTTTAAAAAAAATCTCAACAGTCTGTCTTAATTCATATAATACGTGAACATGAAGTAATAAAACTACTAATTTAATCTAATAGATTCATTTACCTTTGGTGTAAGTACTGTTATTGTTGGATTAAAATCTACCATCTTGCTTGCTTTTTTCTATTTCTCCTGTCTCTTCTTTCTCTTTTCCTCTCTTTCTCCTTTTCTTTACATTAATGGAGTATTTTTTATGCATCTGTGTTTCCCTCACTATTGTCTTCATGCTCACGCTCACTCACAGTCATGTCTACCTCTTTCCAACCCCATGGACTGTAAGCCAGTCAGGCTCCTCTGTCCATGGAGTTTCTCAGGGAAGAATCCTGGAGTGGGTTGCCATTTCCTCCTCTAGGGAATCTTCTGGAGCCATGTATCAAATCTATGTTCCCTGCATCGCAGACAGATTCTTCACCACTGAGCCATCAGGGAAGCCCCACTGTTGTCTTACTTATAGTTATTTACATTTTCTTTTAGTTTCCCTTGAGTTTACAGTGACTATTTTTAGATAAGTCCCCTTCTTTCAAATAATGCTATTAGTTTTTTAGGTAGTGCAAGTACCTTGTAACAGTATTTCCCAATGCTTTATTAATTTTTTGTTGTCATCTGTGTGTGTGTGCTGTTGCTCAGTTGTGTCCAGTTCTTTGCGACCCTATGGACTGTAGCTCACCAGGGTTCTCTGTCCATTGAATTTTCCAGGGAAAAATACTGGAGTGGGTTGCCATTTCCTACTCCAGGGGATCTTCCCTACCCAGGGATTGAACCTGTGTTTCCTGTCTCCTGCATTGGCAGGTGCATTCTTTACCATTGTGCCACCTGGGAAGCCCATTATTATCTATACTGTGGTAAATCACTTTGATGATAAGTAACGTTTTTTGAATCACTAGTTGTATCTAGCTACTTTATAAAGTCCCTGTGCTGTCCAAAGCTAAAACAAGATGTAAGATAGGCATTTCCATGCACATTTGCAGTAGATATATTTTCTGAGCTCTCTGTTACTGTTCCAGAAGCAGTTTTTGTACCTCAATGTCACTGCAAAGGTGATTTACATATTTCAAAAATCTACTTAACATGGTGGTTGAGTGGCTTCCACCTAAACTTCAATGAAGTGATTAATTTGCAATGTAATGACAGGATAAAAGGCAAATGACAGGAGAAGAATCCAAAAGAACTCAATAAATGCCTTTCGAGTGAAAATTTTTTTGCTCCAAGCCATATGTTCATGGGTTAATAGCAGCATTAGGTGACACTTCTCTGCATGAAATGCACTCTTAAAATGAAATGTTTAGGGACTGCTCTGGTGGTCTAGTGGTTAAGACTCTGCACTTCCAGTACAGGGGGGCGAGTTTGATCCTTGGTTGGGACGTAAAGTAAGATGCCACGTGCCATGTGGCCAAAAAAAACAACAACCAACAAAACGATGAAACACATGAAATATCATTGTAGTTCACCATTAATAGAAAATTTGCAGTTGGTTTTTCTAAATTAAAACTAAATTGATTAATTTAGTTTTGGTTGCACTGCGTCTTCATTGCTGCACATGGGCTTTCTCCAGTTGTGCCGAGTGGGCTTCTCAGTGCAGTGGCTTCTCGTTGTGGAGCACGGGGTTTAGGCCTCATGATTTTGGGGTTTGCTGAATTTCAACATAAACTGAATTAAGAGATTCATCAGCACTCTTATGAAAAAGTTAGGCCCTAGATTTGGGAGTGAGACCCTGAAAATTTACAAGGGGGTATACAGTTGGATAGATTTAGGACACCCCGACCCCCAGCCACATTGAGCCTCCCTTGCTAACAGAAACAGCGCCTCCTCCCATTTGATAAGGCTGGTCTCTCTGCCTTAGAGACACTGTAATGACTTCATGTGAGTAAATTACATAATAAGGGCACACCAATTCTCTGCCTATACCACCGCAGTCTTCAGTGCTTCTAGACCTAATAACTAGTGTAAGATCCCAGCATGTTCTAGGACAGGGGCAAAGTATAACCCAGGGTAGAAGGCTTCCCTACAAAAAGACGGCAAGATTTTGCTGATCTACATTGGAACAAACGAGGGGTTATATGTATACGATTGGATTTGAGGGATTCTTGATTGGGTAGGGCTGGGACCAAATTTATGAAGAGCACACTTGCTAGAAATTTGGAATTCAGTTTGGTGGTTCAGGCAAGTAGAAATGATTCTATGGATACCTGTTTATTGGGTTATCTTAAACCTGAATGCAGTAGTGGACTGTACAAAAGGAAGTTGATTTGCCAGAAATTTCCTGGCTTAATGTTGAGATAGAAATGCAGAGAGGGAGAGAGAGATTTAGATAACCCCCTGAAGAAGACATTGAAAATAAATTGTGAGAGGAACACCTACATCCTCAAAAACATTGTAACTGGCAATCCTCTTTTGGCTGGGGAAAAGTGGGATGTACTGAAACTCAAACATTAGTATTGTTTTTCCCCCTGACTTCGATAGGAATAATGAAACCCAGAGAGGCGGAGGCCTGGGAAGCACTTAAGCAACAAAGACAAATGGACATCAGGGACATAGAGCTAGTAAGAATGGATTGACCCACAGGTGTCTTTGCTGGATGCTCATTTTAAAAGGTATCCCGGGGGAACAAGGTCGTGAGGAAGCAGCGCGCGTTTTGCTGCCGCCATTTCTTCTGCTTTCAGTCTCGATCTTTTGTAGAGCTTCCAACAACGCTATGTTGGGACAGAGCATCCGGAGGTTCGCAACCTCTGTGGTTCATTGGAGCCACTACGAGGAGGGTCCAGGGAAGAATATACCATTTTCAGTGGAAAACAAGTGGAGGTTACTAGCTATGATGACTTTGTTCTTTGGGTCTGGATTTGCTGCGCCTTTCTTTATAGTGAGACACCAACTGCTTAAAAAGTAACCCATGAGACAGATAGAAGAGGAACATATTAAGAGGTGCAGTCTCTTAAAAGGATCAAACCCTCGAACTCAGCATCCTAGATATGTTTGTAAATAAACTTATGGCATAAATCCTTAATGCCTCTTCTCTGAAATATGGAACATGATAATTGAACACGTGGTTACATTTTATTTGGGTAATATTGCATTATTAGTTTCTTAATTAAATATGTATTTGATTAAAAAATAAATATATAAAAGGTATCCCCATGATGGAAAGAGCATGGCAGCCAGGTCCTTTGTCCAGCCCACTTCATCTGCAGTCCCACCACCTCCAAGTCTAGGTCTGGTGAATGAGCCCTGCCTTGAGGAACTGTTATGGAGAATTAAGGCTCCTCAGCAAATTCCTAGACTGCCCATCCTCCCCAGCTCCAGGCCAGGTACCACATCAAGAAGGGCAGGGGTGTCAGGAAGCACCTGCCTTTAAGTTGTTGTTGTCGACTTGCTAGGTGATGTCTAGCTCTTTGTGACCCCATGGACTACAGCATGACAGGCCTCCCTTCCTCACTGTCTCCCAGAGTTCGCCCGAGTTGATGTCCCTTGGATCGGTGATGCCATCCAACCATCCATCCTCTGTTGCCCTCCTCTCCTTCTGTCTTCAGTCTTCCCCAGCATCAGGGTCTTTTCCAGTGAGTCAGTTGTTTGCATCAGGTGGCCAAAGTATTGGACCTTCAGCTTCAGCAGCAGCCCTTCCAATGAGTATTCAGTGTTGATTGCCCTTAGAATTGACTGGTTTGATCTCCTTGTCCGGGGGACTCTCAAGAGTCTTCTGCAGCACCACAGTTCAAAACCATTAAATTGGCAGGCCCCTAGCAAGGACAGTCTCCTCAGGTGGACTCTAACCCTTCGGTCTTGGGCTGATTTCTGGGTGGAGACAGTCTAGCGTGAGGATCTGAGAGCGAGAGCGTGACTGCGCTCTCAGGTCGGCGCCGAGATGCGCCGAGATGCGCCGTGGTCCCCATGCCGCTACTCAGCTGCCAGCCGCGAGGGGGCGCCGCAGAGCGCTGAGGCTGTCACGGTGCCCATGGCGTCCCTGGGCGGCCTCCACAGCCTCCTAGTCTGGCTTCTGCTTCTTCAACCCTGGCTCACGGAGGCCTCGGAGAATGGGTCGGCTACGCCCTTGCCCCCTCCAGCTCCCTCGGGAGGCGGCATGAAGAACCGCACGGCGGTCCAGCCACCCCCCGGCGGCACTTCAGAAGTCCCCAAGTTGGCGGAGTTTAGCTTAGGTGACTCTGCGTTGGGCGTCCGGAGGGGCGGGCTGAGGCGCCAGGGTGGGAGCTGCTGCTCCCCAGGAGCTTGGGAGGATTGGGGTCTGAATGAGCGCAGCCACCCGGGGGTGGGGGTGGGGGGGTGCGCCTCGTGTGCAGATCCAAGGCCTGCGGATTTGGAAGCACTACCCTGGAGCCTAGGAGGACGTGGCCTTCTTGGCTGTCTCGGAGGCTCCCGGGAGTCAGGGCCTGTTTCTCAGAGGTTCTCCTTGCCACCCTGTCCTCACCCCAGCGTGCGGCCAAGTGTTCCTGAAAATCTTGGGAGGACAGGACAGCGAGGAAGGGAAATGGCCCTGGCAAGTGAGCCTGAGGGTCCGTGACAGACACGTGTGCGGAGCTTCCCTCGTCACAGAGAAGTGGGTGCTGACTGCGGCCCACTGTATGTTAAGGTGAGTAATAACAGCGGAGATGCGAGAGTCCTGCCCTCCTCAGACACCCTTTAGTTTCTATTGCCCTGCAAGTTGATAGAAAACCCAAACCAAACCAAAGCCCACACAATCAAAATGGGACAGATTCTACATTTTGGTAGTCTTGTTAGCAGGAATGCTAGTTTGATGATCAAAACCAGTTGTAGCAAATCAATTTTGAGAGGCATTAGGAGGGGTTTTTGGGGAAAGGGGCATGGAGAGAGTGGTGAGGGAGGTTGGGCCCGTTTGGGAAACAGCTGATGTGTGTGGAAAGGCCCAAAGGATGCTTCCCAGGGTCTCCATGAGGGACATGTTCTCTTCCCACAGCCGTCGCCAGTACAGTGTCATGATGGGAGATCGGGATCTCCAGGGTGTATTTTCAGGGTTGGTGGTCCCTGTTAGCCACGTCGTCATTCACCCTCAGTTCTCAACAAGAGGAACCGTTAAAAATGACGTTGCTCTTCTCCGGCTCCGCTACCCTGTAAATTTCACTGGCCTTATCCAGCCTATATGCATCCCTGAGAAGACTTTCCATGTGCAAGCTGGGACCAGGTGCTGGGTGACCGGATGGGGAAGGAAGCAAGAATTTGGTGAGACTGTGAGGAAGGTAGTAACCTTGGGTAGAGGGGGGCAGCCGTATCCCTGGAGTAAGCAGCAACACTAAAGTGGTGGGGCGGGAGGAGGCTGACCGCCTGGCACGTGGGTAAGGGGGCAGCCAGGTTAATGGTTCCCAAATGGCTGGAGCCCAGAAATTGATTGAGATCTTTTGTTGCAACACAAATATTTGATGCCAGCCATTTATGAAAGGCACCAGTCCTGGGAACCAGAGCTGTTCTCTGAAGAAGAAATACACGGGCGGAGTCTCCTTCTGCAGATTTGTGGAGAAGTGTACCTGACTGATTTGGGGGTATTTTTAGCTTCCTTGGAGACAGAACCGGTTGCTCTGGAGTTCTCTCCAGGGTTAACTTCTACTCAGGGCGTGATGAGTTGTCTGCCAGTCAGAGCTGTCTGTTGCTGGAAGTACTTGCCTTGGTGCATAGGGAACTTCCTATCCTTGGAGGTCTTGGCAAAGCCAGAAGACCCCTGTTGGTGAGGCTGTAGGGCCTCTTATCTCTGGAAAGAGCCTGGATTGTTGCTTTCGGGTGCTCCTTGTCTGAGCATCTGTGATTCTGCTTTAAAGTAAAGGCACTTTGCTGATGTACGGGATGCCTTTCATTATTACTATTGATACGCAGAGTGACAGATGCTTGGTTATCATTTCTCACGATGGTCAGGCTTGTCTCTTCCTGTCCTAATCTGTTGTTCCTTATTTCATCATGGGTTTGGTTCCTAACTTCTCTTCTCCCCTTGTCAGTTTGGGGCTTCGGTTTCTTCCATTGTCAGATGGAGAAAGTAACCTCTATAATGCCTTCTTCAAGGGGGATTCAAGGTGTTTTGGGCCTTATCATTCACCTGTGCAGATCTACCCACTGCCGAGTTTCTTCTTTGTTTGTAGAAGGCCCACTTGTGTCAGAAGTTCTCCAGGAGGTTGACCAATATATCATGTACTATGAAGAATGTAATGGGCTACTACAGAAGGCCCTACAAACAAACAAGGATGTAGCACAAGAAGGAGTGATCTGTGGCTATAATAGTATAGGAATGGATTCTTGTCAGGTAAGTTCACGGGTCCCTTGCCACCTCTGTATTGAGGTTGTCCCCTCAAAGTATCCTTGTTCCCCAGTGACAGGGCCTGGGTTATTTCCCACCTTATCTTTCAGCCTTTACTTAAGGAGATTCAGGGGAGAACTCCTCAAGATACCTGTGAGCTGTCCTGGCCTGTTTCTGCAATAGGGAGGAGCCCCACATCCTGGGGATGCTGCCAGGATGCAGTGAAGTTGAGGGTGATGATGATATCCATGTAGTTCCTATAATTGATTTCTTTCTGTAGTCACTTCCTGTGCCAGTGTGAGCATTCACCCACGTTAGCTCAGTTTCCCAGCTCACAACCCTGCCACCTAGACATTTTACATCTTATACAGATGTGGTCCCTCCAGAGACATAAGTTCCAGGTCCCCCTGGGAGTGCCTGTAGGAGCCCTGGGCCCACAGCCTCCCCTCTGCCCTGAGCAGCCTTCCTGAGCAGGGGACAGGGGACAGGTCTCAGAGGATGAGGGTCTGGATTCTGGCAAGAGGAGAACATCACTGGTGGGAGAAGGAGCAGTGAGTCCGAGGCTCAAGGTCTGAAGCACTGGGCATGTTTAGGGAATGGGTTTCAGGTCTGGAGCAATGAGGAGGCCAGTGTGGCCAGAGTAGGGGCTGGAGTCAGAATGTGTGGCCTGCGGTGCTGTGCTGTGTTTCTTGGTCCTGTCCAGGCAGGCCTGTGGGCCAGGAGTTTGTTTTTCATCGTGTGGGCAATGGTGCTGAGCCCCAGGCGGGACCTGGGCTCATGGAGGGGTGGAGGGGTGGAGGGGATCTCAAAGACACCGTCATCAGTTCTTGGTAACTGCTTGCACGTGAGGACGGCAGCGAGGGAGAGCTTGAAGATGACTCTGAGTTTCTGACTGAGCTGGTTGGTGGGGGGCACCAGAGCAGTTTTGGGAAAGGATGTGCAGTGTTGCCATGAGCTGGGATGAGTATGTGGGATGTCTTGAGAGTGTAGCTTAGTATATGGAGGCAGCTGGCTATATGGTCAGGAGCTCTAGAGAAACTTAGGCTAGGTGTAGGCATTAAGTATAGGCGGGCTTCCACGGTGGCTCAGTGGCAGAGAATCTGTGTGCAGTGCAGCAGCCGCAGGAGACCTGGGTTCGATCCCTGGGTTGGGAAGATCCCTTGGAGGAGAGCATGGCAACCCACTCCAGTATTCTTGCCTGGAGAGTCTCATGGACAGAGGAGCCTGGTGGGCTCAAAGAGTCGGACATGACTGAAGCAACTTAGCACACATGCACGTAGTATAGGAAATGACCAGTCATAATATCTTCAGAGGACACTAAAATTTTCCATTGACTCTTCAGTTCTCAGTTCTTATAATCACAGAAATCTGGGTCTGGGCGATGTCTGGGGAAGGCTCACAGATGCCCGTCTCTCAGTGTCTTGCTGTGCCATCAGCTTGCCCTGATGTGGGTGCTCTTCCATTCCTGAAGTTTGATTTCTTTCTCTTTTTCAGGGAGATTCTGGGGGCCCTCTGGTCTGTCAATTCAATACCACGTGGGTCCAGGTAGGGATTGTGAGCTGGGGCGTTGGCTGTGGTCGTAACAATACGCCTGGAGTTTATACAGAGACTGCCCTCTACTCTAATTGGTTAGTTGCAGTGGTGAACAAGGCTGCCTCTTTGTATCCAGTGGTGCTCCTCTTCCTATTGCCGTGTGTGGTGTTGTCCCTGGACCTCCTGGTGACCCTGTGATCACCCTGGTCCATGCTCCCCGCTGTTTCTGAGTCTCACACCTAGCCCTGCCTCTGACCTCCCACTCCTACTCTAGTGCCAATTCCTGAATTCCACTTGGTATCCAGTGATCTTGTGGAGATCCACATGACAGAGAGCTGGAGCACGAAGCCCTGGAAGTTTCCCAGCCTGGTGCTTCAGGAGCATGCCTCATCCATGTCTACAGCTTGGCCGTGCTCTGCTTGCCAGGAAGGAGTGGGTGAAAGCATCCCAGCTGGATGGACAGCGACCTGCCGGGTGGACATGATGCTTCATCCACATCATGGGGAACATCTGGCAAAGAAGAGATGTCATCACCAGTGAAGCAGTGTTAGATATGACACTTTTATCAAACCAGCCTGTGTGGTGATTGTTGGGAGAGAGCGAGGAGGCCTTGCCATGTCCACATCTGACTCAGTTATCTGGGTTCCGAAAAGGTCCCCTGCTTCCCAGTGTAGATCCACCTGTGAGTATCTGCCTCTGCCACACAAGCCCTCCGGGGGCAACTCAGTCTTGAAACCCTCTTCCCAGGGCTCCAGTGGCCACATCCAGGCTCACCCCAAGTTGTGTTGAAGCATTACGGAGTATGGAGATTTCTGATGTCAACCCAATAAATGTTTGGAGAGTCATGTGTGTGTTCTGCATCTCTACTGGTCTGGGGTCACTGAAAAGAGCTTATCTCACATTTAGCTTAGGAAAGTGTTCATGGTCTTTTAAAACCATGGAGTAATGTGATGTGATGTGAGTGGACAGATGGCCTTAGCAGTTGGGTCCTGCTGCTGTGTTCCTCATAGCCATTAGCATCTCTACAGGGAACTTTGCAGATGAGTTTGCTAGCCACTGCATCTGGGAAGGAGGAAGTGAGAGAGAAGACTGGAAGCTGGAGAGGGGTCAGGGCATTGTGCCCAAACATCACCCCACTTTTCTGTGTGTTTCTGTTGCTCCCCTTCTAGGTATATGGAGCCTGAAGCACCAGACTGCCTTGGCCAGGCTATGGAGAACAGCACTGAGGCTCAGAGATGGGACAGTTTGGGGTGCTTACTGGTGATTCAGATGGTAAAGAATCTGGCCAGTATGCAGGAGACCTGGGTTTGATCCCTGGTTTGGGAAGATACCCTGGAGGAGGAAATGGCTGCCCACTCCAATATTCTTGCCTGGGGAATTCCTTGGGCAGTGGAGCCTGGTGGGCTACAGTCCATGGGTCGCAAAGAGTTGGACATGACTAAGTGACTCACACACACACACGCCCTGTGTCTGTGCTGGCTCATTTCCCTCACTACCAGATGGTCCCAGATTACCTCTCTGTCATTGTGCAGAGCACTTCACTGTTTCTTGATTTCTTTCATGAAGTTTGAGGTTGCCTTCTTTTAGGAGGGGATTGTGCATTTTGCATATGGGGAGAAGGTGCATGTGAATAGTTAGGTGAATAAAAAAGTCAACTTGATGGTCTTCTCTTATGGCTTCTTTCAGACCCTTCCTTCTGGGCATATAGGGTATCAGGATAAAGAATATATTTCCAACCTTCCCACCTATCTTAAGTTTGGCAGTAAGTTCTGGTTAATAAAATGTAAGTATTGATGTTGAGTATGAATTTTGGAAGGTATTAAAGATACCTTTTAAAGAAAGGAAAACAAGCCCTTTGTCACTTCTTTGCTGGCTAGAGTATATTCATGGTGACTAGAGCTTGAGTAGCAATCTTGGAACATGAGAAACATGTTAAGGGTATAGAACAGAAATTCAGAAGGAACTTGAGTCTCTGGAATTTATAGAGCTGCCATCACATCTCTTTATGCAAGACAGAAATAAACTTCTCTTTTAATTGCCTCCATCATCTTCAGTTTCAGTTACTCATAGAAAAATCTCACTTTAACTAATGCAGTTGGTATTATAGCTTTATTTCTGGATTGTTATGAATATAAGCTTTTAAAATCATTTCTTATTTAGACTAAATTATTTTAAATCCTACTTTGATATGTGCCGTTGCTTCCTTCTCTCAGTTCAGTTCAGTTCAGTCACTCAGTTGTATCCGACTCTTTGCGACCCCAGGAACTGCAGCACACCAGGCCTCCCTGTCCATCACCAACTCCCGGAGTCCACCCAAACCCATGTCCATTGAGTCGGTGATGCCATCCAACCATCTCATCCTCTGTTGTCCCCTTCTCCTCCTGCCCTCAATCTTTCCCAGCATCAGGGTCTTTTCCAATGAGTCAGCTCTTCACATCAGGTGGCCAAAGTATTGGAGTTTCAGCTTCAACATCAGTCCTTCCAATGAACACCCAGGACTGATCTCCTTTAGGATGGACTGGTTGGATCTCCTTGCAGTCCAAGGGACTCTCAAGAGTCTTCTCCAACACCACAGTTCAAAAGCAAAATCAATTCTTCTGCACTCCTTCTCTAGTTATAGTTAAAAATTGATAAGTTTAGAAGTTTATGTTGATGAATGACTATTATCTCAATGCATTTCTCTATTATTATTTTATTTATTGAGGTATAATTTATATATAGTAAAATGCACATATTGCAGTGTACTCTTTTATGAGTTTTAACAAACATATACCCATGTTAACATCACCAAAATCTTTTTTTTAAAATTTTTTTTATTTTTTGCTTTTTATTTATTTATTTATTTTAAACTGTTTACAATATGTTTATTTTTTTTTCCATTGTTGAAAATAGTTCATTTTTTTTTTTTTTTTTTACATGTATTCCCCATCCCGGTCCCCCCTCCCACCTCCCTCTCCACCCAATCCCTCTGGGTCTTCCCAGTGCACCAGGCCCGAGCACTTGTCTCATGCACCCAACCTGGGCTGGTGAACTGTTTCACCCTAGATAATATACGTGTTTCAATGCTGTTCTCTTGAAACATCCCACCCTCGCCTTCTCCCAGAGTCCACAAGTCTGTTCTATACATAGGAGTCTGTTTTTCTGTTTTGCACATAGGGTTATCGTTACCATCTTTCTAAATTCCATATATATGTGTTAGTATACTGTAATGGTCTTTATCTTTCTGGCTTACTTCGCTCTGTATAATGGGCTCCAGTTTCATCCATCTCATTAGAACTGATTCAAATGAATTCTTTTTAATGGCTGAGTAATATTCCATGGTGTATATGTACCACAGCTTCCTCATCCATTCATCTGCTGATGGGCATCTAGGTTGCTTCCATGTCCTGGCTATTATAAACAGAACATCACCAAAATCATGATGGAGAACATTTCCATCAATCCAGGATGTTGCTTTATATTCCTTTCTATCA